TAGATTATAAAACTTCAATTTATAAAAACATTTAGTAAGAGTTATAAATAAAGACTATGATCGCAGCGTAAATGAATCCTCTCTGAGCCCACCAGGAGGAATCCACACACAAGAGTCAGCTCTAGCATCTACCTGTCACCTACAACAGGGGGAAATAAAACCCTGAGTACTCAATTGTACTCAGCAAGACTTACTCGATGGGAGAAAAGAAAAGACTCTAAGGGTATGCAAGGCTATCTGGCTTGTGGGTTTATTGCATCGACAGGAAGCATTACTAAACGTGTGTCCTTATATTCGATTTCATTAGCAGTCATCATTAGTTCATTAACTAGCCATTCTATGTAAGCACATGTACTACTTTCAAGCAGGTGATAAGTAATTAGAATCATTTTATCATCTTTCATCTTCCAGTTCTTACTATGTTGCTAGATTGTAGACAAGTCATACCGGATCGCCAGTGATTCACGAATCAATGTGCTCAGCTGGGTACCCTAAAACACACGCCCCGCTTGTACCCTAGGCGCAAGCAGGACCAACCCACCACCCTCCTGTCATGGGGTCTTGGTCCCCATCCAAACTTGGACTCCAAGCCCCCGCTCCTGAGTCCCGGACTCGGTGCGGTGCTTAGACCTCCACCATCCCCGCCTCCAATCAGCCGGTCCGGAAAAAGAGCCGAAACCCATGAGAAGAGAGCAATGAGTCTTCCCGCGTCCATACACAAGTATGTGTTCAGGATAATAAGTCTATGACCTGCCTAGAACCCAATGCAACGGCCGGTCCTTAACCGACATAGGCAGAACAAATGCAATCCGAGCCTCGCTCGAATGCCAAACCAAGTCCAGATCTAAAATACCATTGCACCCGGTCTCCAATTATCATCTATATATATATTCCAGGTGATAATAATATAGTAACAACAATAATATATTTCCTATCTCTCGTGAGTGACAGGCAATCACTCGACTTCTACCGGAGTCCTGTAGCTAGCAATCTACACGATCCTATCATACTAGTAAGACTCATAGGATAAATATATATATATATACAAGTGGGTTTCATTCAACTCCTTAAAACTTAATGCACAAACATAATATAAAGTGCAGAAAAGTAGGAGTTATGCACCGGAGCTTGTCTGTGTAACATATGACCAAAAGTTAGTATTCCATCTTGGTGACACGATCTCCAAAAGTACCATCTCACCAGCAACTCCCGATGACTCCGCGATCCATGGTCGTCCCTATTATGGTATGCAATGCGATGCAGAGATGATGCAATAGTCAATTAACAAGGCAACAACAACTCTTAAAACAGAGTACATACTACGAACTAACAAGCTAGCTCTAATGACAAACGTACTAATCTACGTGTCAACGTCGTCGAGAAAGGTGTCGTTTCCCAACAAGTGTTTTAGTTATACAATTCTAAGGTGTTTCTTTATTTTATTTACTTGAGTTACTGTATATTCAAACTAGGGCTCATTTGTTATCTTAGCATTTTACTTACTTTGTAGCTACAAAAATTACAGAGAACACCTGATAACACTTCTAACCTACTATAGAATTTTTAGAACTAACACTATCACCGATCTCTCACAAAAATTCCCACGAGTTCATATTTTTACAATATTAAACATTTTAAAATAATTACAGCAATCCTAGAAACATTTTAAAACTAGATGAACCAAATACGCTAATAGATAGATCATGATTTTAGAAGCCTAACAAAATTGGTTTGGCATTTATATAAATTTTCTATGATTTACTATGAATTTTGTAAGATCCCTGTTTTGGTAGAAAAAGAAAAGACTAAGAAAAAGGAAGAGGATCGCTTGGGCCAATTCTGGATAGCTCGGCCCACGTGCGGCGCAGGCGCGATAATAGACCGGCAGCGTGGCTCGACACACTGGTGCGTGCGGCCGAGCGCGGGAAGGAGCCGAGCGGTGGCGAGCTCGAGCCTTACGGCGAGCAACAGCAGCAAGGGTAGCCTAGCGGAGACGATGGCAGGGGCAGCGGTGGGGGCTTGGGTGCGCTTGTGCGGGCGGTGTTCGGGCGATGAGAGCGGCCTGAGTGCTGCGAAGTGTCGCCGGAGCGGCAGGCCCGCAGAAGTGCGGCCAGACGGGAAGCGGCGGCGCAGCGGCTGCGGCGATGCACGGCCGCGGCATGGCGCATGGACTGTGGAGGAGGTGTTTGGAAGGGGCAGCATAGTAGGGCTGTAGCCCCAGCATGGGACCATGGGGGGGTTGTGGCAGCTCACAATGGGCAAAGCGATGGGCCAGGCGTGTACGGAGGTGCCAGAGCTCGAGGGAGCTCGACTTGAGGAGGAAAAGCAGCGAGAGACTTGGGATAGGTGGAGGAGGTATGCAAGGTGCTCACCACCAACTAAATCGAGCTATGGCGGCTGCATGTGGAGATCGACGATGTGCTCTCCTTCAGTGCTAAGAACAGGGGAACTGGATTTGGGGAGGAAGGAGGTGAGCAGCGTCGTGGGATGGTTTGGCGGCTCGGCAAGGTAGAGAGCAGGGGCAAAGGTAGTACACGACAGCGATGAGCTCGGGTAGGTGGAATGAGCGGCCGAGAGCGGCGCGGGCGAGGTAGTTGAGGTGAGCGGCTGAGATCGCTCGCTACAGGTGTACCGATTCACGAACAGAGCGCCAACGACACGGCTCACAACGCGATCTAAGGAGGTTAGGGCAATTTTTGGAGCAACAACGCAATGTCAAATCACTCCATGAACTATACCATGCTATGGTATCCGCAAAGGTGCAATCAATAGTGCCAAAACATGACGTTAGTGTTTAAGAATTTGAATCAGAATTTCAATTCCAAATTAGCATTTTATAAATCGCCAAAAAGTGTACTTTCAACACAACTTCAATTTTTTGCCGATTTAACGGAAACGGCTAATTTTAATTTCCAATTTGATTCTTGAGCTATCAAAAATACCATGGAACAACATCTATTCACCAATTCAACAGTTGCATTTTCATCTACTAGACTTGTACTTCAAATTTTATTTAAGTACCAATTACAAGTTATATTTTATTTTTGTTTATAAAAATTGTTTTTCATGCTTGATCAAATAAACAAGCCATTCGTTATTTATTTGCTATTAGGCATTTTCAAGCACTTTCTTCATACTTTTCCAAAACAAGCCCTAAACAACTTTTATCCACAAGATTATTTAAAAGTTGTTAAGCACCGAGACAAGTTGACTAACGACACTTATTCATTTTTTTATTCACGAAAGCGAGCCGCACAAGATTCATTTATAATTCCATGTGGGCTTTAAACTTTTAAACCCGAAAACTTGTTTTGCTAATTTCTCTTAGGCATTAACCTAGCTGCTAAGCAAACTCGTAACACCAGAGGTGTTACAGGCTTTCAACGAATGTCATCTTGTTGCTTGGACAAAATGGAAGCTTGTCGTTGTGGAGCTCGATGGTGGCACATGGAGCTCGTCGTGCGCAGCAGCGCAGGCGCCGTCGGGATTCCATGAGGCTCACCCCCCTCGACTCCTTGCTGGAGTAGCCGCGGCTCGCCAGATCGGTGGGCAGGTGCCAGGTGCGGCGAGCAGACAACATGGAGGAGCACAGCTGCGGCGAGCATGGGTGTAGCGAAAGCAATCGCCACGCTGGTGGATCTGAGCACTGTGACGGGCATCACGGTGGTGGGGTCGGGCTGCTTGTGTGGGAAGGGACGATGGGGATTTTATTTTTTCGGCTTGGCTGGGTGCCAATGAGAGGGAGCGAGCATAGAGAGTGGGGAGACGCGTCCGGCCACATGGACGCCCGGGTGAAATCATTATCGATGTACAATTTCTAAAAAAGTAGTATCGCTTATAAATTTTTCAAAAAAAAGTAGTATCGTTTTTTAAGAACAAAAGGTAGTTTGCTTGCTCGGCTGTACAGTCTAATAGAGATAATTCTGTATTTGATCCTATTGTATTCAGAGGTGCGATTGCAAAGTACTTCCTTAGTCTTTGAAGTTGCATTTTGAAAAGCAAATGATCCCGCTTGGAAAGAGATGATAAATTATCATGACCTTCATTCAATATGGTGGGTCGACAAACTGTTAAATGTCGATATGTCGATCTTGTATGAAGAAGAGAAATTATAGCTACATCAAAAGATCACAAAGCTGAAGTCTCATGTCAGTTTAATCGTTGATTTGTGGTCGTCAAACCAAAATTTGGGGTATCTTGGAGTTACAGCTCATTACATTGATGAAGAGTTTGAGCTCCATAAGAAGATTATTGCATTCAAGCAGATCTCTTTCCCCCATAACTCATTTGTTGTGCAAGATGGTATCACGGCTTGCTTGATGGAGTGGGATTTAGTTGATCGTGTGTTCACAGTGACTCTAGATAATGCAAACATGAACAAAAGGGCGATTAGAGACTTGCGTGCTGCTCTAGGTGCTCAGATGTTCTTTAAGGGTGAACACATACATGTCATATGTGCCGCTCTTGTGCTCAATATAATGGTCTAAGCTGGATTGCAAGTCATACCAAATGTAGTTGGAAGGGTAAGAGACATTATCAAGGTTGTCACATCTACACCTTCTTGTCTACAAACATTCAACTCAATCGTTCAGGCATTAGGTCTCAAAGGCAAGTCGGGGCTGGTTCTAGATGTTCCCCACCGCTGGAATGCTATGTATGACATATTGAATGAAGCTCTAAAATATAAAGCAGCTCTAAACAGATTCGCAGCAGAGCAGTATCAGGATGTTCCTAGTGAACAAGACTGACAGAAAGCTGAATCGCTTCACGAATTCCTAGAACAGTTCAGTGAGGCTACAAAAGCATTTTCTGTGGATAGGCATCCAACGACCCACCTCTTTCTGAAGATGTTGATGGCAGTTCGAGATGTATTGCTTGATGAGACATGGAATACCAATGAACTGCTCAATGAGTTGGCTGAAGCTATGTATACCAAGTTTCAAAAATACTAGGTTGCGCCTAGTATGGTACTTCTCATAGCTACTATCCTGGACCCATCAATGAAAGCTGATTTTGTCAGGTTCTTTTACTTGACTGTTGAGAATACAGAAGCAGAAGCGAAGATGAGAGAGCTTAGACAATACTTGAAGAAATATTATCTAGAGTACGAGAGGGTTGTGAGGAACAACATAGGCCCTGTCTTCGTTACATATGAAGAGGAAGTTTTAAGTCAGTGGTCAGTGCGAATCGAGTTCTTCTGGACTTCGTGGCAAATGGCGTGTGGAGCTTGCATTTGCTCAATTTTCATCACAAAACTCGAGTACTCGCTCAGAAAGATCAAAACTGGATATTTATTTGGATGATCCTAGAGTAGTTGTGAGACCGATAGAGAACTTTAATGTTCTAGCATGGTGGAAGAAAAACTCGGATGCCTATCCAATCTTGTCTTTGATGGCCAGAGACTTCTTGTCTATTCCTGCTAGCACAATGTCCTCAGAATCTGCTTTTAGTGCTGCTGGATGGATACTTGGTAAAAATAGGTCATCTCTCTCCAGAAACTCTTGAAGCGTTAGTCTGTGCGAAAGATTGGTTGATTGGCTTTAATGATGTAGAAGAAGGTAATTGTCATATTTTAGATAAATATTGCAAAGCCAATTTTATTTACAATAGTGGTTTAATATGTTTGTCTTGTTCAATGTAGGTCAACCAATGGCCGGACAACGTATGTTTGAATTAGACGAAGAAGAAGATGATTGACAGGTTAGTGCCTCGATGTAAATTTTTTTGTTGGTTTACTGTGATCAGTGCATGGGTTCAGAACACCAGACTATGGTTTATTGGAATGAGAAGATGTAGTACATTACTTCGTATGTTGAGTACTGACTGCAAGCTTCGTATGTTGAGTACTGACTACAATTCAAGAAGTGAATAGAAGCATGATAGTATTATGAGTTGACATGGATTTGAAACTATAGCTGTAGCACAGTAGCTACTACCTACTATGCACTTGAAGCATGAAGTTCTCCTTTTCACTGGTGCCTCTGCCTAATCATATAATTGATGAAGCATGAAGTTGTAGCATAGCTGCAGTTATTTGTTTTAATAAAATGCCTGTTAGTCGATGAAGCATGAAGTTCCCTAATCTGTGTTCTATTATTTGTTTTAATAAAATGCCTGTGGGGGCCCATAGTCCCTCCAGTTTCATAAAAAAAAGTTCTAGCATAGCTGCAGTTGACATCCCAACTCCATTCCTTTATCTGCAGCTAACATGTATATTATCAAATAGTAAATTCCTAAGTTTGAGTTTTGTGCTTGGTGTCTTTGCAGACGATGTCTTTGCAGATTGTGGGCTTGTGGCATATTGTTGTCGCTAGCCAGAGCTCATTGATCTCTGATGTGTGGCGCAGGCTCATTAATCATTGAACCTTTGCATAATATTTGTAAGACAATAATCAACTTTTATTGTTCTTCTTGGATTCATCGGATCGTATGGCTAGAAATTTGTAATTTTGTTTTAGCATGTTGATTCATGCTCAATCCTAATTAATCCTTTTAGTTGCTTAATTAATCATTAGCTACTTCTGTGTACTATGAAACACATCCAGCATGCTACTTCTGTCAGGATTGAGACAGTGCAAATATTCTGTGTAGTGCCCAACGTCCAGCATTGTATTTCTTTTTTTTTTACATCTACAGCATTGTATTTGTTTTTTTTACATCTGCAGCATTGTATTTCTGTTTACATGCAAACGAGCAAGCATTGTATTTCTGTGTAAATGCAAGCGTGCAAGTTGTAGCCTGCGCAGGGCCCAAGGGTATTTCTATGTACATGCAAGCGTGCAATCTGTAGCTTGCGCAGGGCCCGAGGGCTGAGATAACGGATGTAGCCCAAGGATTTAATTAGGATCAGGATAGGAGTGAGATTTTATTATCAAGGGATCAAGCTGGATTAGGATATAAAGCTGATCAATGGATTGGATCAGGATCGGGCCATCCGCTCTAGAAAATAGTGTCGAGGTTGCATTAGGGGTGGGCCACGACTTATTCCCAGGCGGAGCTATACTTCGCACTGTACGCTTGGCTTATAAGCCATATTTTTTCAACCAATGAACAGTATTTTTCTCTCACAACAAATCAGCCAACAGTACTTTCAGTCATAGCTTATCAGCCAAACGAACAGGACCCTTATCTACGGCTTTCTCTAGCATTCGCTACAGTAATCATAGCACGTTTTCTGCAGCCAAAACAAACAACTGTAGTCGAGACACTGGGAATGAATCCAGTCACAAAGCCCTTGCCCCCACGTTCCAAAAACTCGAATAGTATTTGCGGGAGAAAAAGTCTACTTTGCCTCTCTCAACTATCGCAAAAGTCAGTTTTTTCTCCCTGAATTAGAAAACCAGACATAACTCCTCCCTCATCTTTTCAGACCGGACATATGACCTCTCTAGCTGTTTCTCTAGGTGGATTTTTTTCTTTTATATTTATTTTGCTGAATTTTTGAAAAATCATAATAAATTACATAATAGTCATAAAATATAAAGTTAAATTTTGTTGGACTCCACATGAGTAGATATTAAACGTAAACATATGATATGGTATGTTCAGTATAAAATTTTTGCTCTAGCTTTAGATCTATGTTTTTCTATAATTAATTCATAGCTGTCGTTTCTATGATCCTATTATGGTGGACTAATCATTGTATGCTTAAGATGTAGTAAAAAATTTATGCTTATTGGATCATATATGACTGAGTTATAGACTTATTCAGGTTTATGTTTATTAAATAGTTTTAAAATAATTAAAAATGTGTAAAAATAGAAAATATATGTTTTCTGTATAATTTTCTTTGTGAAAACATGACTATGTTAAATGTTCATAAGATATAACAGTAGTAATATTACATAGAGAACACATATTTTTCTATTTTTACACACTTTTAACTATTTAAAAACTATTTAATAAGCATAAACATAAATAAGTATGTAACTCAGTCATACGTGATCCAATGAGCATAAAATTTTTACTACATCTCAACCATACAATGATTAGTCCACCATAAAAAATTCACCACAATAAGACCACAGAAACTGCAGCTATGAAATAATCACAAAAATGCATAGATCTAAAGCTAGAGCAAAAATTTTATACTAAAGCATACCATATCATATGTTTACTGTGTAGATCTACCCATGCCATCATTCGGAGTCCAACAAAATTAGATTTTCCATTTTATGTTTTTTCTATAATTTACTATGATTTTTTCAAAGATTCAATCAAAATAAATATAAAAGAAAAAAAGAAAAACCACCTAGAGAACAGCCAAGGAGGTCGTATGTCTGGTTTGAAAAGATGGGGGATGAGTTATGTCGCTAGTTCAGGGAGAAAAATATGGCTTTTGCCATAGTTGATGGAGGCAAAGTAGATTTTTTCCTATTTGCTGGCCACGACCTATGATAGGAAGCAGGCCGAATCTGCAATGGTCGTGTTGTGCTACAGCATACAGGCCCGGCATTCCTCCTGCATGCAAGGCCTAGGCAACCGGTGCGCAGGGTCCGAGTTGTGCGGCTGGCCCAGCTAAAGAAAGGTGAAGAAAGCCAGTTGGTTATGTACGGGAAGGCCGGGCTACGAACTATTGGGCCTTCCCGTCACATGGGCTGCTGAGCTAGTGGGCTTCATGGGATGTTGTCATCACAGGCCGAGACATTTTTTTTCAGGCTGAGACATTTAGATGCACTTCGGCGAGCTTGAATGGCCCGTGGCACTGTGGCAAAGAACTTCAGCGGACCGGATGATGGGAGGGAGGGCCATTTGTGAATTGTGATAAGACCCAAAAAAAAAAAACCTGTACTCTCACATGTGTACTGTACATTCAAGCATGTCACGATGGCCGTATCGAACCGCAAAGCTAAGCAAAGATAGCACAAAATGCCCTATTCCAAAGAGGACCTAAGGCTTATGGTTCAACACCAAAAGCATGAATGACATTGCACGTGAATGCAGTTTCTTATTAAGCCCGTAGTGGCTATATTGAATCTGCTGAAATGGAATGTACAGTATTTTGCTTCAAACTCGGCGACGAGATCTCTTGCCCGTGTACATATGACGAAACTGCTACTGCTCCACTCCAAAGAGGGTCAATGGCGATACTACTTCGATAATGTATAGTGTAAACTGAACTACAAATGAGTTGCTCCGGAAGCTAGCTAGCACCACCGCGGAGCACTTCGCAGTCCCCAATGAATCCGATCTTGAAGCAGGTCCTAATAATCAGCAAAGACGCGCAGCGGGGAACACAGGATCTCCCTAGATCGTCCGCAACAGCCCCCGGACCGAAGCTCTTTGGAATCCAGGCAGCGAATTGGAATCCCCACGCACGATCGAGGGCCCAAATAAGCTCTACACTGGATACGCAAACGGAACCACGACCACGAGTTTTGTTAAAACGAAACAGCCTGATCGGCGGGGAGTACGGCGGCCAAGTTGGCATTGACAAATGGCTGGCTCGCGCTCGGTTTGCCGCTCCGTGCAACAACAGCCGTGTACGCTGGCAACAGCCGTGTACGCTGGCAGTAGTTCGAAGAAGCCTGGGAACGCACACGCTTGGCCTGCACTCCGCGTGCTTTTATAGATATAATAACGGCAAGCGGCATGTTTGGGAATTTCTAAGAACTCTAAAATCCCAAACGAACAGTCTATAGGACGAACGTGTATAGGTTAGTTGTTACAGGCGCTGCTGTGTCACGCTGCATCGGTTGGGTTGCCAGCCGGCAAATAAACTCACCTTCGATTTACGGCAAGCAAAATTTAACCGCGTTGACACCTTCAGACTCTTCACAAAAGAAACTACTCCCTACGCTATAATTCCAAATTAGAAATCGTTCGGACTTTTCTAGTAACATAATATTTGTTACACACTTGATACATATTATATTTAGATATATACTAAAAGCTAGAACGGGTATAACGTTGTGATATTATCGATATCTGCTTTTGTGTGCACAGCTTCGTACACAATTTTTTATAACTCCAAACCAAATCCTATCGGTAAGTTTTGAAATCTACATATTTTCCAAGAAAAAAAGCGGCGGAGCTGCTATAGACGCTTTGATTGGCTGGAGATAGAGATCTCTCAAGTGTGCAGTGATAGATCTTTAGAGATAGCCATACTCATGAAGTCGGCCCAAGCAATGCCCAAAGATTCTCATTTCTGTACTAAGGGTAGGTTGATAACCTATTGTGGAGGATATTCTCCTAATAAAGGCGGATACTTCCGATCCATGAATAAAAGCACGTCTTGCTTATTAACATCTCGGAAATATTCCGCCATAGTTAGGGCAGTTAAACCAACTCTCATACGAGCTCCTGGCGGTTCATTCATCTGGCCATAGACTAGATCCACCTTTGATTCCTCAATATTTTTGGAATTAATTACTCTAGATTCCTTCATTTCCATATAAAGATTATTTCCTATCTAGAAAAGCTAGAACTTACAATTTGAAGCAAAAAAAAGTATTTTCTTTTTCATGAGACTTACTGAGCGGTATGTATATTTGAAACAACCTATGCGAGAATGAAAGGTTACTATACACGCCATGTAGAATTTGACACTGTGACCAAGACCCGAGGAGCGAGCAATATACTCTAAACCACGGCGGAATAGTCATTTTCATCCCTCAACTATGGTCCAAAGTCTAATTTCATCTTTGGACTTTTAGAATATGATCATTTAGGTCCTCAAACTTTACTTTTAGTCT